ACCAACAAACTGAGATCATTACTGTCACACTCAATTCTCCCTTTTGCTACCGTGTTTTTAGGGGTTTTGTGTCGAAGTATAATAAACCAAATGAGATGTTGCTGCGATCGGCATAAAATCAAAAACAAAAATGGAAGAAACAAATCGGAACAGAAAAGTAGGTCTCGAAGCCGAAAAGTGATCGGAAGAGGTTTGATAACAAGAAAGCGTCTTTTGTTCCAGTGAACGTATTTGAAACTCCAGACAACGATTGTGCTTCCAGGTGGAGAATTGGATACATCATGATGCGAAACAATGGCATGAAGAAAGAGGGCAACGAAACCCACCTGGAAATACTTAGCCTGATTGATCGCGTCCAGAGCATGCAAGCAGTTATTCTTGCTAATCGGCTCCCCTTGCACAATCAGACGATATGCAAGTGAGAGCCGATTGGCCGGAACAACTGTGGCATTCGATGGACCCTGGGAACCAGAATTGGTCGTCGATGTTGTTGCTGTTGAGTGGGAACTTGGAGTTCGCGTCTGTTCGGTAGCAGTGGAAGCAGTGCTCGATTTAACCGATCGCGCTGAGCTACCTGCTTTCACGGCACCCGACGAAGACTGCGAGGACTGATCTATTTGAACAAGCAACGAGAGGGAAGGAGCAATATTACCATTCTCAACAACGCGGAGCGCCCCTCGCTATCAAGTGTATTCCAGAAGCATCAGGGAAGATCCATAACCCCCCTGAGACCAATCTCAAGTTCAGTGGTAATAATAAGTGTAAATTACAATACTTCATGAGAACATCGAATCAGTTATTAAACAATAGCTAGTAGGTGAAGTAATAACATTAATCTTATCGTGCGGGTTTCTGGGACTAATAACGCCATACCAGCAGACTGCGGAAAACAACAAAGTTCAATTAGGTCGGCACTTTAAGTTGTGATGCTCAACGTTGAGGACACTAATAGATGATGAAGAATCACGACTTGGTGACAAATAGTTCATTGAATGCCATTTAAGGGAAGCCAGAAAAGCAAAACTCATCGAATTTAACCCATGTGAATACTAGCCGGTAATTTTTGGAGCTCACACTCGAAGAAAAGCAATTCGAAAATCTATTCTAAACTAGGCAACAGCGCAATGTTATTGATCAAATTGTCTTTATGAAAATACCATTAGGGTCAATGGGATTCGAACCCATGCATGGAATCTGCCTACGCTTTCGGACAGCGCACATTCTATCAGCTGAGTTAAGAAGTACGCGAAATTATGAACGGGCACATTGAACGTGGATTTAGTCCAAACCAAGCATCGCATGTGTCAGAAGGGCTGTTTCTATCGTTGCCAAACAAACCAGATTCGCTCAATTGCTAGTTTGAACTCAGAGGTCAGCAACTGCGGGACTTGACGCAAGTTGGGGTGAAAGAGTGGGTTACCTCCCAGAACTCACCATGTTGAGAACAATCATCGTGAACCACCGGGGAAGTGAGTTGTATACGCACCGTTATTGTGGGCCAATCCGAAAGGGGCTCAGATCCATGTTCATCCTCTACATTCGGTTTCCTGGTCGCATGCATAGTGATCTCACCCGTTTTCTTTTCTGTATTTAACTCATACGAAAATCGATCGTCGAGTTTCTGTTTGAAAACAACAAAAGCCAAACTAATCATTCATGCAACACTTATGACATCTTTGACATTGAAAAACCATTTCGGTGATAAAAAACAGAATCAGATCTAGTAATACTTTGGATGCCCAAGTGGGATGGATAACGTCAAATAGCAGAATCAAAGCTGACATCACTAACTTCGTGGAATAACAGTGTTAATTATTATTCGTAATTAGATGTTTCTTCCTTAATTTGCATTAGACTACTGGTGAATACCATTTCGTGTTTATTTCCCTGACGGTTAACGCTTGGTTTTTCTTACATCCTAAGGAGCCTACAGCTTTGAAACTTATTTTCGGAAAGCGCATTTAACGGATTTCTAATGCTATGATTGTGATATGTGAATTGGTAAAACTGGATTTTCCCAGTGACAAAGATTTTTTGAAAGGTTGCTCCGCGAGTAAAATCCTCCAGCCACTAGGGGTCGATCCACAGAACCAAGGATAGCGGGCACTTATGACCGCCTCAACACCACAATTACAGCAGACTTGATACCCTTTGAGATATATACTTGAGATTAACACCGCCCTTTTGCATCGCGTTCCAGTTTGCTTTATCCAAATCTATTGTACCTTCCTCTTTTACCGTTTCAATCTGCAATTAAGTGTGTAGTAAACCTTTCCCATACCACTGCCGCAGTATTGTTACGTTTAGCAGTATGCCGGGTAGACCTTGTTCCCACCATTGCTGTCACAGACTGTTACCGGTGCCTTGTAATTTGGTTACTCACCTGGCTTAAAGTTACATTTGCTGTTTTATTATTACTGTATAATTTTACAACCACAATTTGCACTGATTGTCGATAAACACTGCTGCTTCACTTCGTTCTGCCGCTTGTAGAAATGCTCTGCCCATATCGCGCGTATCGAGACAAAGAGCCTCATATACTTCGTATTACGATCACGTTGAATTGTGCAATGGTTGGTTGTCCCATGAGATGATTGGTACCGATGAGAACGTCATAACCAGGAAACAGTCTTGATCTGAAGGGATAAACATTGTTCAGAGAAACGCAGTTACCGATCACACAATACCAATGAGCTAAAGTAGATCCTTACCGTTAAAGCCCCGGGCAATTCGTTGTGCAGATATTCCATCAATCGAGTGGTAGGCCAAGAGGAACAGACCAGTACCAAATCACCAATGCGATCGCCCCGCAGCAGAAGACTTTTGCCTAACGCACCAACGCGAACCACACCACGCAGCAGACGATCCTCCACCTGTTGAAGGTTTTGATTCCGTTTCGGGTCCCCGTCTCGTTGATTCATCTTTGGATCCTCTTCTTCGTCCTCGTCGTCGTCCGATGCATGATCATTTGAATCCGATTTCTTTGCCTCAGTACGAGCAGATTCAGCCACTAAGTCATCACTGATTGTTTTCAAAGCATGCTCGCTAATTGTAATTACTGTTTTCATGGCCTGCCAAAATACGATAGACGGAGATGTAAGATTTGCTTAGTGTGCAAATAGTTAATAGGATAAAGTTGATCTTGGTATTTTGATTCCAAACATTTAACAGTCGCATGCCGAACCAGCGGCACAATGGGAAGAAACCTGATGGGCTTTTGCTAGGTCACGATGGACTAGTTGCAATAAGCTCCCAGAAACTCAGAGCAGCGAACAAAACCGCAGCAACTTGAACCCGAACTGGAGATATTGTTGTTACCCTATGGGGTTTGAGTTTTGAAATAATTAAACAACTGGTAAGCATGCATTTTGGTGGAGCGGTTTTGGTCACTGCCTTTTGGGGTCTTCTTTGTAACAGAGAAAAAGGACGAAATTGTGCAGCGAACTTGGCTGCGTGGTTGTTCAAGTGGCGAGTTAAGTGAGTCGTGTAGACGGAAATGCACGAGAACCACCATACTCAATAACTAACCATTTTACATTGACCGTAACAAAACTGCTGGGGGTAAGCACGAGGCACGGTGGTGGCCAAGTGTTTAGGTTACCAAATTGTGACCCAGAAGTCCCGGGTTCGAACCGCTGCACCATCAACCGTTTTCCCTATTTTCTGTATTTCCTTAGGCAGTCTTTGCATGGCCGCAGCTCCCTTACTGAAAGCTGACTGTGCATTTGTATGTTCAATGCATAAAAAGGAAGTAAAAAGACATTTACCTCGTCGCTTCGTTCAAACCAACCACGAACACGTCCCAATCAACTCATGCCGGTATTTATCCTACCTAACTAGTAGTATCAAAAATAAATCGATCGATCACATTGTTTGATCAGATATCAGTTTTCGGAGGCCAATTCGGTTCATGTCCCAGTTGGTTTCCTGAGTTACAAATGGAACCAGAGGACCATCACCAACCTTATGTGCACATGATAGAGGTGAACCCATCAGTGGTGTGAAACTTGCTGCTTTGTGATATTAGTTGGCAATCATAGTGGGAGATGTAGTGTGGTAAACCATTAAAGGAAATAACTGGAAAAAAGCTGTAAGGAATACAAGTCGATTCGAGGCTCAATTCAACTGATTGATTCTTCTTATTAAGATAGAATACTGCCCTGAGCAGAGCTATTCATCTCTCATGCAGAAGATGAGTGCATTCGTCTATTACGAANCTGATCTCACATCCCTGAAAAACATGAAATATTTCATATACCCATAGAAATAAAGTGATTTTCAGTAAGATGGACAACCGCCGTGACCTAAACTCGGACTGCAAAAGGGGAAAATATTTGAATATGGGTGTGGTTTGTGGCTCAGGTTGATGGTTCGTGGAGTCTTGTCTTCGCTGAGCTTGGCGTTTAGATCGCAAACGCTTCATCACCAGCCGAGGTGACATCGTCAGGGAAAACATCCACAAATACGTCCAGCTAATTCGTTTATGTTTCCAAGAGTGAGAAAACTGTTTCAAAGTTTAGCTATTCGAGAGCCAAGTTTGAAAGCCAGTAGTGTTCCG